CTGCTTAAGAGGCCTGACCATAGTTACACTGTCCAAGAAGCCAGGATTCAAATTGGTCTCCTGCTTTAGTTAAAATTTTGTACATTTTTAATCCCCTGAACCATGAGGATTAAAAGGAGATAGACTGCCTGGGTTCAAACCCTGGCACCACTTTTTACTGGCTGGCTTCAGCAAATCACTTCAGCTCTCTGTGGCTCTTTTGCCTCATCTAAAAAATAGAGCTAACAATACAGTCTACCTCCTAAGGGAGGCTGTGATGTTAAGAACTAAGTGAAATCATGAATGTAAATGTCTAGAACAGTTCAACAAATGACAAGTGCTGTGTGTTTGCTACAATGATTTTGAGAATGATGACATCACATTATCTTGTTGTTAGGAGGTACTTTGCCATATGTATTTGTAATCTTCTTTTTATAACGGCCCCCTAAAAGGAGAAGGACAGATATTTTTATTATCATGGTGGTGAAAATGCAGCCCACAGGGGCTACATTGTGCTGCTGGACTTGGGACGTAGACACAAATCACGGCTGCCCCACTGCATTCTGGGAAGTCCTGAGACCGCAGAGCCACCTGGGCAGTTCTCGTTAATCCTGCTTTTCTATTCCTTTCTGCTTCACCCGTCCCCCGGGGCCAGTGTCTGCCATGGAAAGAATTCTCCCAATAATAAAATCCCTGGGGCTGCTCCTCTTGGTATTAGAAGAGAAGCTGCAATTCTTTTTCTCTTAAATATTCTTTACATGAGATGCCTGTGTGTGCGATTCAAGCGACTGCTCATCACAGAAAACCTCGCCCTTGTATGACCTCTCATCCTGAGCATGCGCTGATCTTAATCATCCAAGGGTCAGGCGGGAGCAGGCTTAGTGCTATTTATACCCCCTCATTTTTGTTTTTGTTTTTGTTTACTTTAGGGGAGAATCTCCAATACACCTGTTCCTGGAAACTTGCTCAGAAGGTAGGAGAACGAGAAGGTATGAAAAATATTTTCTTTGCTTCTGGGTTTTTTTTTTTAATTTTAAGAATAAAAGGAGGAAAACATTAACAGACAGACAACCATTTACAAAATAGCAAAAGAACAGTACAAACAATACAGAGATACAAACAAAAGTGGTAGGAAATTAACAATGCTTGTTGTATTACATATTGATATCTTCAAAGTGGTTTCTCATGAAAACAGATATAGACATGCAATATTGATCAGTCAGGGACTCATTGACAGTTTCTTTCAGCAAAGAAATAGAAGACAGTAGATCAACTATGTCAACTATCCTGTATATACATACATACAAAATTTCTCCTTCTTTCCCTTCTCTTTTCCCACACCCCAGTTGCCCTTTACCCTTGAGCGTTTTCCTTTCATTTCACAATGTCTATCTGGTTTTCATGTAGCAATTCCCTTCTTTCTTTCTCTTTCTGTTAAGTGCAGGCGCTTTACACCTTTCCTTACTAAACATGTTTGTTTGATTGAGACAGAACGTTGCAGCACTCCCCTGAGAGAGAAGGAGAGAGAAGGAGAGAGAACAAAGCAACTGGAGAGCTCCTACAAGCCTGCCGCAAGGGAGGATTCTCCTCCTTGTCCTAACACGTGAAGTTTCAACTTGACCCAAAAAGCAAGCCTGGCGCACAACCCATAACAGTAGACCAGCACACTGAATTTTTTTTCACTGCTTCTCTGGGTTTAAATTTTTTAAACCATTTAAAGGAGAAAGAGCAAACTCCTAAGGCGAGTAACCAGTCATCTCCAGACGTTCTGAGGGGCCAGCGTGCAATGTGTGTGTGAATGTGTCTGGGGTTCGGCCTGCTCTCCCCCGTTCTGCCACCTGCTCCCCGCTGCTGCTCTCTTATGTATGTTTGCAGCTCCTGATTCTTCAAGGTCATAAAATTTCCAGGATGCATGCTTTTCTTCAAGGCTGTGGGAAATCCCTCTCGGAACAAAGCTCCCCCATTGGCTATTGTATTTCTGAGGTCACAGTAATAACAGCAGCAAAGAACAAGATCACTGTATTGAAGATATTAATATAGGAAAGTAAAGCTCAAGGCACAGAGCATTTAGCAATGGAAAACACAAGTGTGTCCCTATGTCCCTCCATCCCTAGCAATACAGGAGATCACCGGGTACTGTAGCACTCGCACCAGAGTAGGAGGAACGATGTCCTTTTAAGCCTGCTGCCCTGTCTCAGGAGACAGATGGGCCACGACGTTTAAGTACAGCCTTTGCTGGACGTGTGGAAAATTCCAGGGTGAGGAGGTACAGAGGATGCAGGCACAAATAAGGCAGCTTCCCAACCCAAGGGCTGTGGTCCGGGGAGGACACCGGCGTGCACACCGATGCTCCAGGCATGAGGCCACCATGGAGGGATGACGACCCGGCTCCAGGCTCCAAACGGGAGCATTCCGGCTCCCTCCTTACCCAGAATTCGCTTTTTAAAACGTGACTCTGACCAGGTCATGCGCACCTACAAACCCATCAACAGCGTCCCACTTTCTTCCGAGTGGTCTGCCTGTAGCTCAGCCCCAAGGCAGCATGCAGGCTCTCCGGCTTTTCCTCCACGCTTTGTAAAGCCACGAGGCTGTGGTCTAAACATGCTGTGGTCTGCATACCCTTCACACACACACTGTCCCCACCTCCTTCTCCTCCTCCACTTCCTCTACTTTTTGTGTGCTGGGGACAGGACCGGGGGCCTTTGCACAGAGCTGCATCTCCAGCCTTTGTTTTTTGTCTGTTGTTTTTTCATGTTGTTGTTTTTGAGACAAGGTCTTGCTAAATTATTAAATGGCCCAGGCAAGGCTCAAATTTGTGACCCTCCTGCCTCAGCCTCCCAGAGTGCTGGGATTAGAGGTATATACTACCACATCCAGCCCTTATTACATCCTTGTAATCCTGGATCTGTAACACCTTCCTCAGAGGATCTTTATAGGTCAGGTTCGTTGTAATTTTTAACACCTCAATTTGGAAATGTACGTTCACGTGATTATTTCATTAGGCTCCCCACCCCCTTCGCCTGAGAGAACTGCAGTAGCATCCCCTCTAGCTCACTACTGTATCAGCCGTGGCCAGCGTACAGCCTGGCACACAGAAGTGGAAGCACAGTAAATCTTGACTCAGTAAATTCATGAGTAAATAGAAACGAACAGCATCACTAAGTTGCCTGAGCTGAACTCAAAACTTGCAATCCTCCTGCTTCAGCCTCTCGAGTGCTGGGGTTCAAGCGTGCACCATGACACCCGGTTTGGTCTTATTTTTAAATCCCCTCTTCATGTCCTCTGAGACCCAAATGCCGTGGCAGCAGCCTGAACACCATTCTGACCAGCTGAAGAGGACCTGGGGCAGCGACAAGGAGCCCACATCTGGATGGGACCTTCTAGAAACCTCCAGAGCTGTCCCTAGTTCAAATCCCCAGGCGGGAAGGGGAATTCTCCCCAGGGAAGGCAGCCGCAATGTGATCAGCTGACTTCCCAGGAAGAAGATTAATCTCCATGGTCACCACAAAACCCCTCCAGGCAGGCAGCTCTCTCCGGCTATTTTGGTTAAACCCTCTACACAATGGATTCTGAAGAGACTTTACCTTTAGAATCCTTAATCCAGAAACAGAGATAAACCTGAAGTTTTTGGATTTTGAATGATCCCCTGTGGGTCCATTTACCTTCAGTTTATTAAGATTAAAACCAAAGTGACAGTTTTTCATCATCACTTGTCTTTTCTGCAGCTAAAAAGGAGGCGCGCCCCAGGCTGGTGCCTGGATGACGCCCTGTGCC